AAGAAGTACTAGAGAAGTGTGGCAAAAGCTGTGTTCTGAAATCGTTTGATTTGAATGAGGAAGAGCAGGCTCGCTTTTACAGGAGTAGATTATCCTACATATAGCCTTGTCGAGCAGTTTCGTTTCAAGGTTTCGGATATCTACATCGTTTTATGATATTGGGTCAAGCAATCCTCATATTGATATCAACTGAGCTGCTTGAGCGGTTGCCTGAACTTGATTGCAGTTGTCGCCTTCTAGCAATGTTTAAAGGCAAAGGTCGGGATTAGGCAATCAAACCAATCCCTTCCATCACCTCTGTGCGAGGTTGCACACCCACAGTGCTGACATCACGCTCATAATTTATAGCAGCGCGGTGTTAAGGCCTCCGCGAAAGTATCGTTAGCTTTCGCCGCCTGGTGTTAGCTATGACCGCCCACCGCGCGTATGGTGCGTGGCTGGCACAGGGTGTGAAATCAGTTGGATTGATCGTCGTATCAAGTGCTGACGCAGTCCAGCAATGACTAACAATTCCGAAGACCTATACGGACAAGCCTTTCCGTTACCCCCTTCCTTTCCGCATGTTGGAGGGGGAGCGTTCCGGCGTTGCCGACGGTTTCTGTTCATTTTTTCTTCACTGTCGTTCCAGTTCGTATCTCTGCACTCAATTTCATGCGCCCCAGATTGAGCCCGGCCTTTGCCTTTAAGCGCGTTCCACGATTAAGCTTGTAAACCAGTCCGTTGCTTGGGCAAATAGAGCCATAAACAAAAGTCTAACCATAAGAGGTGCCGCTCTCGCGGCCTTGATAACGCGTGCCAATGGCTTTAGGACTTCACCATGACTCCCATTCCTGTTGCTCACTCCACGACGAAATGTCTGGGTGCTCTCCCACCTTACTATGCTCTCTGTTCTCGCTCTTCTATTCTCTCACCCCTGTGCGCAGTGTTTCCTAGACTTCTTCTAGTAAACAAGTCGAAAAGAAGGAAATGTAGAATAGAGAGATTCGAGTAACGAAGGCTCTCATTTTCAGTGTTTTCAGCTGTGTCCTTTCCTTTCTTTCACTGCCAACACTGCTCCTCTACTTCATCTTCAAACGGAGTTCCCAAATAGTGTGGCCGTAGCAAGTGTCTTGTACTGAATAATTCTGCTATGGAGAGTCCTTCAATTTTTTGCTAACGACGCCTT